GTCACTGGCGAGTTTGGCGGCAGCTTGGAGTTCGTCAATCCCTGGAAGAGGCAGGTGTCGTGGAGGTGCTGGTGGGAAAACCATGTCCAGGCACTGCAGCATCGCTGGGCGTCAACTGGCTTGGAGCAAAAACCTTCGACCAGTGAGATTGAATAGCGCTGTGCATGCTCGTGGGATCGTCGGCGAGAGTCGGGCCTCTGCTGTCGGTGATGCGGACGCCTGCGAGAATCAAGCGCTTCGAGAATGGCTTCCAGACCTCACTGCGCTGACCAATGCGGCGGGCACGACGTCGCCATTGTTCGCCAACGTCGGGCCGTTGTTCAGCGTAGGCAGCTCGCGAGCGAGCGGCAGCAGCACGACGACGTTGTTCCGCGATCTGGCGCTGCATGGCGGAGTGCTCGGTTTCGAAGGCGGTGCGGCCGACAAGAGAGATCGTGTGGTGGTGGATGTCGATGTGCTTTGCCCCTGCAGTGGTGTCGTTGCGAAGCCGCTGGGCAAGTGTGAGGTCCTGGTACCAGATGGCCCTGGCAATACTGCGGAGCGTAAGTGCACGTGCCTCTGCTATGACATGCGCGTCTTCCCTCTGGTTGTCGATCGGCCTGAGTTCGGGGGCGGGGAAGGTGGTGATGGTGTCTCGAGACATGCGCGCTGCCAGCTTCATTATGTGCTTCATTGTCCGCCAATTGGAGATGGGGTCAGCAGAGAAGTCGGCCATCTCGGTAAGGCGCTGGAAGTAGAATTTGTAGTGCTTGGACTCGAAGAGGAAGGCAGGTATGCCACGCTCGCTGACTGGGCGTGGTTGTCGAGGTCGAAGTCTTAGATGTAAGATTTTGTGATCGCTGATGGGCTCTCCTTCTCGATCAAGCGGTCTGCCATCGGCGACAAGTAGGGGCTCGATGCGCGGGATGTTGGACGCGCCGATCGAGACGGAGCACATGTCGATGGCCGCCTCCGCCAGGTTGGCAGCGCATCGATGAGTGGTGGCCTTTGCTGTGACCTCCATCATCTGCGAGAAGATGTTCTTCCAGAAGACGGGCTGGTCGTGGCGCCGCTCGGCAGTGTAGTCAGCGGTGGGGGGGGGCAAGTTCCTCGGCGGCGCATGTGCAATATTGAAGTCACCGACCAAGAAATAGTCGTGGTTGTCGGGGCGGAGGGCCGAACGTTGAGCAGCTGCCTGCCGCGCAGCTCTGAAGCGCTGTCGATCAGAGTCGCTGAGGTCGTAATTGTGGATGTTGAAAATGGTCGTCTCGTGCTGCCGTGCTCCATCTTGGACACGTAGCTCACCAATGCGGCCAGGGGCGATCGCACGGAATGCACGTTGGGGGCGTTGATCAGGTGGAAGTTAGAGTTCGGCTCGATCAAACGGAACCAGGAATGCGATGCCGCCTGCGGTCTCCGAGGAATGGCCATCTGTCATGAGAGCCGAGTGGAAGGCAATGTGCTTGTGGTCAGCGCTCGCGGCCAGGATGTCCATGTCGATGCTATTGCCGCGGGTCTCTTGGAGAGCGATGACCGCTCGCTGCCGCATGTAGGGGAGCAGCATATGTCGCTTGAGAGCACGCCATGTTGCCGATCTGCCGTTGAGCGCCTGCGTGTTCCACGAGACCAGGTTGAAGCCATCGGGGTGTGGTTTTGTGAGCCAAGGCGACCATCGCGTGCTAAAGCCACCGTGCTGCCTCCAGTGGGTTGGCGAAGGCAGCCGCCAGCGCGGCAGCCAGGGGCTCGTGCTCGGTGATGGGGGTGCCGGCGGGAGCAGCTGCATCGGACCAGCGAACTCGGGTAGCTTCGTCGGGAGTGACACCAGCCGTGACCTGGACGATGGGGGCGCCGTTGATGGAGAGGAAGCCGCCAGTGCGGTGGATCCGAGTCTCGAGCATGGGGAACTTGTCATTGATGGTCTTGTTGAGTGTCTTGAGCTGTACTTCCTGTCTGACCATGCGTGGTGATTTGTCCGCGGAAACGTAGAGGGCGGTGGGGCCAGATTCGGCGTCCACTTGGAAGCGACGCCATTCTCGTCCTTATCGGAGTGCGCGGTGTAGTGCCTGAGCACGCGGAAGAGCAACCGTGTTGCCGCCAGTGAGCGTGAATGAGATCCTCCGTGCTGGGCCTTCCGAGTTGATGCAGAGCGCATTAATGTCCACGTCGGCAGCGTCGAACCAGGGGGTCAAAGCGGACTTGAGCGCGGCGACGGAGAACCCAGAGGCGGCACCGCACCAGAAAGTAGCTGCATTCGGTGGACGATCCCATGCACCGAGGGCGTCCAAGTCCAACGCTGGGTGGAGAGCTTCAGCATGTCGTAGCGTTTGTTGAAATGCGACCACACTGGCTTGGAGGTCGCGTTGGAGTCGCTCAGCTCGGTCAGCACGGCCCTTGAGCTCGGCAATGTCCCGCTCGGTAGACTCCTGACGGGTGCTGAGCTGTTCGGTGACCTTCGTGACGTTTGCCAAGAACTCGGCTTGCGCGGCGGCAACGACTTGCTTGGAGGTGGCTTCGAAGGCTGCGGTAGCTTTGTCGACCTGGGTCTGGAGCAGATCAGTGAGCACCTTCCGCTGGTGTGCAGGAAAGTCGGTTGCTGCAAGCTTCTGAGCGCCAGTAGCCCATGGGTCGACAACGGAGGCGTCCCTGCCCTTGCCCTTGTCGCAGGAGTCGGCGGAGCCAGATGCGCCAGGGATTCCCATCGCAAGACGAGCGAGTCTGTAGTCTGGGCAGCTCGCGTGTGATATGAAAGCTGCGACCACGCAGCAAAGTATATGGAGAGGCACAATGCCGCGGGCACGGCGAGGGCGGAAAGCAGCGGTCCTTGCAGTCCCCGGACCAGGGGTCTCCGTGCTCTGCCACGGGGCACAAACATCTTGAGCCAAAATGGCTACGGAGGAAGAGGAGGAGGAGGAGGAGGAGGAGGAGGAGGAGGAGGAGGAGGAGGAGGAGGAGTGAGGAGGAGGAGGAGGAGGAGGAGGAGAAGGAGGAGGAGGAGGAGGAGGAGGAGGAGGAGACGGGTCGCCGAAGCCCTTCGGAGCAACCCTCCACCGAGGGGGTCTGGGTCCCATGCCCCCCCTGGGGCACTCAGGGGCGCCTGTTGCGCCTCGGAGGGGCCGCCCGCGTTGCGGGCTCGCTCGCCCTGGTCCGCCGCGACTCCGCCGGCGGCTTTTGCCTGACATCCCGGCGGAAGGAAATTCCCGAAAACAGGTCTGGCGGGTTATGGGACGCACAGAAACATACTAATACTACATGTCCTCCTTGGAGGCGCGCGTCCAACCCGAACACATACTATACCCATCTTGAAGTATATCGTTTCCCGAGTGGCGTGGCCAGAAAGCGCCAGCCACGATGCATATACTATACGATTTCTCGGTGCGCGCGTCGACCCTGGGGGGGCGACGCACACATAGTGTAAGTATGTTGGGGTGACGCCGAAGCTAAGAAAACCTGAACCAATAAAACCCCTGCCATCTCCTGAGAGGCCGCTTTTTGCTCCAGCCGGCGGAGGCGGCCTTGGTTTACTTCCGGTGCCTTCCGCTGGCCTTGCGCCGCCTTCCGCCGAGAAAGAGAGATCAATGTCTTCGATCCTCGAAGGCGAAGCCCTTCTTTTGAATGCCTTACATCGGAGGAGGGCTAGTCGAGACAACGGCCGCCCTCCCGGCGTTTTTCTTATTTTTGGGAGCCTCCTAGAGGCTTATCGTCGCTATGGTTGGACCCACCTTCAAAGCCGGGTCAGGAGGACCCCAGGAAGGGTCTGGGGAAGAGGGATTTTGATCGGATTTGGGCTGGGCGGAAAAGCTGAACCCTTCTGAAACACCGGCTGGGGCCGGGGTTCAGATCATGAGGGATGACTGCAGCCACGTGAACCCCGGCTGGGGTGTCGCGTCGATTGGACCCGCAGGGGTAGGCTTCGCATGCGTTTCCCCCACTCTGTACAGCGCTTCGTGGCCCCACATGGAGCTCTACCGAAGGCCCCAGTGGCATGGTTTGCACGCGTTTTCACCACCCAGTACAACGGTTCGTGGCACCATAGGAAGCTCCACCGAAGGCCCCAATGGCCGTGTCCGTATACGTTTCCCTTGCCCAGCCCAGGAAGGAGCGCGTTTCACGGGCGCTTGCCTTGGGAACGTTAATGGTCGCAGACGAGGGGGAACCGCTCACGCCCCTTCCGCCAGAGAGACTGTCCTGGCCTGCGCAGTCTGTGCGCCTGGCGCTCCCGCACAGGCGCACACCTGGAAGCCGGGCGCTGCCAGCTTTATGGCTTGCACTCCGACGCACGGCCAATCATTGGGGGCCTGGAAATTGGCACCATCACCAACACAGGGGGTTGCCGCCACATGGGGAAGATGATCCTAGATTTCGGTGTTGGTGGTAATATTTCGGCCACCTTGGAAGCCAGAATATGACCACCATCACCGAGATCGGGTCCCAGAACAGACACGGCCCTGGCTCAGAGCGGGCCGCTGGCGTCGGCGCGTGGGCTGGGTGCCGAACTGACGTCCGAACTCGCGTTGCTTCCTCCTTCTCCTCCTCTTCCTCGTCCTCCTCCTTCTCCCTGCTCTCCCTCCTCCTCCCTGCTCTCCCTCCTCCCTCCTCGCCAGACCCTCGCAGGTAAGAGAAGCAGAGGAAGAGAGAGAGAGAGAGGAGGGAGGGGGAGGAGACCCCTAGGCACGGGCTACCCCAAATGTACACTGCAGACACCGCAGTTGCGAGCGTTGTGTGGGCCGGGTGACGGCGCGGCCCGAGAGCGCTGCCGTGAACAGACTGTGAGCGAAGCAGAGGCAAGGTAAAGTGAACAGGATGCGTGCACTGAGAAGAGCACCTGACGGCAGAGCGAAAACCAACTGCACGCACCAGACCACCCTTTCCCACCCACCAACCCTCGTCCACCCTGATTACTGTTATGTGTCAGCTCGTATTCCTCAAATGTGCTTCAGCAGCAAATGGCCACTACCTGGTCGTCATAAGGATTGTGTTTTCGGAGAGCTCTGCCGGCTTTGCTGATGTCCTTGCTTTCATGTGCGGGAGGTCGACGTGGGGTAATTGTTGTATGTCAGGTTTTATGAGGCTGCGGCAGACTGCCCAAAAAGAAATTACGCTGGAGGCGGCGTTGTCGATCGGTGTCCGGAACTCGCAAGTGGAGGCGAGGCCAACAGAGAAACAAAAACAGCCAGGAAGACTCCCGGAGCCGACTCCTGAGATCCAATCCCTGAGATCCTAGCAAGCCTTTTTTTCGGGTCCAGCATTTTCGCACCCCCGGACCCTCACAGATCGATCCGGCTCGAAACCTGCAGAGGAATGATTGGGTCTGGGGCTCTGGTTGTGATTGTTCACGGTGTTGCAACATCTTCGCGGTGTCGGATCTCAGGGATGAGGCCCCCCCTGGAAAAACCCTCGCGCCCCCTGAAGGGGTGCACAGTCTGGGTCCTCGGTGGGCTCCCTGCTGTCAGCTCCCGCTCGGTCGCGGTTCCACCGCCGAGCCGAGTCTGAATAGCTCGAGCACGTGCTCGGAGTTCTGGTGCACGGGTCGGGGCCGAGTGGATCGCCCGAGGTGGCCCGAGGAGATACGAGGCCCACGGCAAGCAGGGGAATGCCCCTGCCGCTGGCCCCCCGGGTTCTGAAAGCGCCGAGACCCTTCCTCAAGGGCCAGGGAGAAAACCACCAGCCCTCCGGGCGGAGGTGACAGTACGAGTGGTATGCGCTCCCTCTCCAGGCGGTCGACCGCATGTCCCCCGACAGGCAGATTTTGGAGGAAATATAAACATGTTCTAAGTTGTTCAAAACTGTTCTTACATGTTGGGAAAAAAGTTCAAATAATGTTGGAAAACGAAGTCCCCCCGATTATTTGGACTATTTTCACATGTTCCTCGTGTAGTGGGACGCTCCCGACTTAACCGTAGCGTGGCAAATCATCCCCAACTTAACCTGACCCGGGCCCTGCCGACACTGCGCCAAAGCTAACCTGACCCACTACAATACAGCTAACGTGACCAACGGCTCGGCGACTTCTGCGTGTCACGCGCGCGCTGCGCTGTAGCAAATGATGCACCAGGATGGAGAACCACGGCAACATGCAATGCAAAGGGCCGACTGTATCACACAACCCTCCTCGTTTCCAATGAAGAGACTGGCCGGCGCTGAAGCAAGAGCAACTTTCGCAGTCATGGATGTGGCCGGCGCTGTGGCGAGAGCAACAGTCTCAATCGTGGATGTGGCTGGCGATCGGTCGAAGGCAACTTTCGCAATCGTGGATGTGGCCGGCGCTAAAACGCGAGGAACTTTCGTAATCGTGGGTGTGGCCGGCGCTGACGCGACTGCTACATTTGCAATCATGGATGTGGCCGGCGCTACAGCGAAAATAATGTTCGCAATCGTGGGTGTGGCTGGCGTTGAAGCGAGAGCACCTTCGCAAAAGTGGATAGACCCGGCGCCAAGGCGACAGCATCACTCGCAATGATGGATGTGGCCAGCACTGAAGCGAGAGCAACGTTCGCAATCATGGATATGCCTGATGCTGCGGCGACAGCAGCCGTCGTAGTCGTGGAAGTGGCTGGCGCTGAGGCGAGAGTGACGCTCGCAATAACGGTTGTGGTCGGCACTGGAGCGAGAGCAACGTTCGCACTCATTCACGTGGCCGACGAAGATGCGAAAGGAAACTTCGCAATCATGGATGTGGCCTGCGCTGCGGCGAAAGCAACATTCCCAAGCATGGATGCGGCCTGGGTTATGGCCAACACAAAATCGAGATAGTGAATGCGACCACTGAAACAGCGAGGGCATCCGTCGTCAACGTGGACGAAGTGACGAAGTGTGCCGCTACACGCGCGGACTGGCTCTAGCGCAACCAGCAGAACCACTGAGCCGAACACCGCCAGAAACAGCAGAACCATGCGCAGCAGCAACAATTCCAACGCCAACAACAACAGAAATAGTAGCGCAAGCGACGCAAGCGAGTCCAGCAGTACCCCTCTGACCAACACGACGGCAAACAGCAAAACCACCACGCGCACCAGCATCAGAAATTCTAGCAACACCAGTATGACGACCACGACGGGGAATGGAGCAGCAGCATCACGCGACACAGCACAAGCGCCACCAGCAGCAACATTGTTACCACAACGACAGGAAACAGCAGCACCAAACGCAGCAACACCAGCGTCACCAGCACCACCACTGTGACGAGCACGGCTGGGAGCAACAACGCCACGCGAAGCAACTCAAACGCAACCGGCAATACCACTGTGACCAACACGACGGGAAGCAACAGCACTACACGCACCAGCACGCGCGCAAAAAAACAACACCGCCACGGCGCGGACGACAGGATCCAGCAGCACGGCGCGCGCCGATACAAGCACCACGAACAGCGCCACTGAAATCAGCACGACGAAAAGCAGCAATACCACGCACATCAACACAACCGCCACCAGCAGTTCCACTAGGACGGGCACGACGGGAACTAGCAGCGCCAGGCGATCCGCGCTGGACTGCGCGAGCGCCCTCGCCCCCCCGTCACTCCAGCACACAGCGCCACGGTTCCTTCAATGTTGCGCTGGGGACCGAGGCGCCCCGGAGCAGAAATGCGCAATCCGCCAGCGCGAAGTTCTGCGAGCCCCACCACGGAAGCAACTACTGATCTGCTCAAGCCCGATCAGCGGTCGCTCCCAGGGGAGGGTTGCGCCAGCCGGGGCCTACAATAGCAGCGCTATGTAGGAGCGCCAGGGCAAGCGCGAGGACGGGGTAGCGATTCGTCGCGGGCCCTCCGTCAGCGCCCGCCGCCTGCCGCCGCCCAGCCCGGGCAGCAGCTCCAACGCGTAGAATCAACGCCCTGTCCGGCCAGCAGCGGCGCGCGCGCAAACAGCGCCACCGCCACCAGCGGCTCCACAAGCACAAGCACGACGGGAACCAGCACAACAAGGCGATTCGCGCTGGACTGCGCGAGCGCCCCCCTCTCACCGCCCGCAGCCTGTCCCACGGGAGCCGGCTGAAAGCCCCTCGCGCCGCAGCCCGCGCGGCCTGGCGGAGGTGCGCACGACGACGCGCGACGCGTCCGTAAGCAACGCGAGGGAAGCGAGCAGTTCCACTGTGACCAGCCCGACAGGAAACAACATCGCCACCAGCAGCAGCAGCAGCACAAACGCCACCAGCAGCACAACTGTGAGTAGCAAGACAAAGGCAGCAGCAAGAGTGCCACGTGCAGCGCCACTCCACCAAGGCCTGTCGGAAGCAGCAACACCGCGCGCAGCATCAACGCCGCCGGCAGCAGTAGCGCAAGCAACGCCAGCGCCGCCAGCAACGGAGCCACCAGCAGCATCACTGTGACGAGCACCACGAGAAGCAGCAGCACGACGCGCAGAAACGCCAAAAACGAGCAACACCACGGCCCCTGCACTGGGAACCAATAGTACGACGCGCACCAGCTCTAGCGCAACCAGCACCACTACCGCGACGAGCGCTACAGCAGCATCGGCGCCGCCACCAGCAGCGCTGAGAGCAGCAGTGGCAAAGCGACGCCAGTAGTAGCTCTGCGGCCCGCGCGGCAGCAAGCAGCACAATCGCGCGCAGCCCTACGAGGGGCCCGACCAGCTCCAATTTGACGAGCGTGACGAGGAGCAGCCAGCACCACCACTGCAACGAGCACGACGGCGAGCAGCTGCGCCAAACGCAGCAGCTCGAGCGCCACCAGCGTCATCACTGCACGAGCACGACGGGAAGCAGCTGCACCGCGCAAGGCAGCGCCAGCACCACCAACGGTTCCACCGGAATGAGCACGGCGGGAACCAGAAGCACCAGGCGATTCGCGCTGGACTGCGCGAACACCCCCAGCCCCCCGCCAGCGAGGCCGGCGACGGGGGAAGCGCTCTCTTGCCCCAGCGCCAGGCGACGCGGCCACGATCGTTCGATCGCGCGCTGGACACCGGGGGGCGCCCCAGACAAGAATGCGCAGTCCGTCCGTGCGACGCTTGGCTGGGAAGTGCGAGCCCCGCCACGGAAGCAACTGCTGATCTGCCAAGCCCGATTAGCGGTCGCCCCCAGGGGGGAGGGTTGCGCCAGCCGGGGCCTATAGTAGCAGCGATGCCCATGCTCGCCGCGGCGAGCGCGAGGACGGGGCAATGGCTCGTCGCGGGCTCTCCGCCAGCGCCCGCCGCCTGCCGCCGCCAGCCCGGGCCAGCTGATCCAGCGCCCTGCCCGGCCAGCAAGGGCGCCTAACCTGGCCAGCGGCGGCCCCTGGGCAGCACCCCCCCGCCGTCGTCGTCCAGGGCTTTCGGCGGCCGCCGCGCTGCCGGCGTCGCCATTGCCCGCCGCCGCTGCAGAGCCGCCACGCGTCGGGCGAGACCGACCGGAGACGACGGCAATGGACCCCGTCGGTGACATCGCCGCGTCGCTTCGTTGCTCGGCTTTGCATCGCTGGGGGGGGGGGGGCGCGCGGGCCGCGCGCTCGTCCTGGCGCGGCGGCAGATTCGGCAACCGCCGCATGGGCGCGTCGCTGCTTTCCGTTTCGACCGCTTCTCGAACGGCGCATCCTTCCTGGGGCAGCGCGGTCAGAACCTGAAGTGCCTGGCAAGGGCCACGATTGTCCGCGCTGTCAGCGACGCCGCGCGGATGGGAAAAGTGAAGGGGGTGGAGATATGGCTCGGCGGCTAAGTCCCGCGCGGTCGTTTTTAACGCGCGCCCCGGTACTGCGACCAACCCTAGCGCCACTGGCGGCACCTTTGTGACCATAGCGACTGCGAGCAGCATCACCACGCACAGCAACACCAGCGCCACGCTATGTTGCGTTGCGACGGACACGACAAGAAGCAGCAGCGCCACGCGCAGCACCCACTAGCGCCACCTGCGCTACCAGCGCGACCAACGCGACAGGAAAACGCAAAACCACGCACACCAGCACGAGCGCAACAAGTAGCAACAGCGTGACCAACACAACGATAACGGGCAGCACCAGCGCAACAAGCAGCACCACCGTGACCAGCAGCACGGCAACCAGCTGCACCAAGAGCAGCAGCACGAACGCCATCAACAGCGCCAGTGTGACCAGCAGGGCGGGAAGCAGCAACACTCTGCGCAGCAGTACATTTGCCACCGGCAGCACCACTGTGACCAACGCTGCGGGAAACAGCAACACTGTGTTCACCAGCCCAAGCGCAAAGCGCAGTACCAGTGTGACGAGCATCACCAGAGACATCTGCCTTCCACGAACCAGCAGCACTCGTGAGACCAGCACGAAAGGAAGACGCAGCACAACAAGTGGCACTACCGTCAGCAGCACCACTGCGACCAGCCAGACGGGGAACAACAGCACTACGCGCGCCAGCACAAGCGCAGCGAGGAGTACCACTGCGAGGAGCTCCGCTGGCAGCAGCACTACTGCGACCAGCGCGACGGACAACAACGGCACCACGCACAGCACTACCAGGAACACCAGCAGCGCCAATGTGACCAGCAAAACAACGCGAATAATCCGAGCGGCAACTCGGCACCAAAACGGCCGCGGATGGGGCCGCGATTCGGAAACTTGCGCAGCCCGCCAGCTCGCGAGGCTGCGTCTTCCCCCGCGACGCGACTGGCGTTCACAAGCAAGATGTGGCAGGCGCCCCAGCGACGACGGCACGCGCTATAAGTATGGCGAGACGGGCAATCGCCATCCTGGGGGGGGGCCGGCAGCACAACATTCGCAATCATATACTTGGCCGGCGCCAGTCGAGAGGAGCATTCCGAACCGAGAGTCAAGCCCGCGCTGAGGAGAGAATGACAATCGCAATCACGCGCGCGGCTGGCGCCCAAGACCCGGGCAAAAGCAGCAGTCCGAGTCGAGGGCGCGGCCCGCGCTGGGGCGAGAACACTCATCGCAATCGTGCGCGCGGCCGGCGCCTAGGCGAAAGCTGCATTTCCAACCAGGTGTGGCTTGCGCCGCAGCTAGAGCGGCATGCCCAATGAAGAATGCGGCCGGCGCCTGGGCAACGGCGACGAAGATTATCAGACGCGCGGCCGGCGCCGTAACGAGAACGACATGATCAATGGAAGATGCGGCTGGCGCCCGGGCGGCAGCGGCATTTTCCATCAGACGAGCGACGAGCGCCGCGGCGAGAACGACATGCTCAATGACGCATGTCGTCGGCGCCGAGGCCGCGGAGACATTTTCAATCAGACGCGCGGCCTGCGCCAACACGAGAACGACACGCCGAATGAAGAATGTCGCCGGCGCCCCGGCGACAGCCACGCGTCGAATCTAAATCTGGCCATCGCCAAGGCGATAACGACATGCTCGGCGATGGATGTCGCCGGCGCCGAGGCGACGGCGGCATTCTCAATCGGACCCGCGGCTAGCGCAATGGCGAGAACGACGTTCTCAATGAAGGGCGTCGCGGGCGCCTGCGCGGCAGCCGCATTTTCGGACAGCCACGCGGCCCGCGCGCAGGCGAGAACGCCGCGCTCGGTGAAAGACGTCGCTGGCGCCTAGGTGGCAACAACATTTTGAAACAATCATTTGGCCCGCGCACGAGCCAGATAATCGCTCCGAGACACACGCGCCGCGATCGACAGGTCGTCGAAGAACAAGCGCATCTCAGCGAGGCGGTTGTCCACATGGATGGCGCCCAGCTCCCCCATGAGCACCGACTTCGGCAAGGCGGGTGCAAAGACCGACCCCAGCACGAGACCGCGCCACCATTGCTTGCGCCCTAGCAGCAGCGCCGCCCGGCGCCACCCGCCTGGCCACCCCATGAAAGCGGAGGGCGACGCGCCGCAGGCGCTTGGGCAATCCCCAGCACAGTCTCGCCACCAAGACCTCTCAGTGGCCAACGCACTCGAGGCACTTGACGAGGGCGAGCAGGGTGATCGCATAGTTTTCAGTGTCGGCCACGGCGGCCGCGCAGAACAGCTGCTGCATCCAGGCGCCGCGTTCGCTGCTGCGCCCAGCTCTCGACCAGTCGTAATCTCTCGCGTGGCAAGCCCCCCGCTTGGCGATGATGGGCCGCCTGCGCTTCTCCCATGGCTTGACCGCCTTGGGCAGTAGGCCAAGGCATCGCATGCCAGCACCCTCCGCCTTCGGCGCGTTGTAGAAGAGGATGTCCGATTGGCGTGGCGGCCAGGGCGCGCCGTCCTCCACCGCGCCGAACACGTCGATGATGCGCCCGATGCCCTCGGCGCCTCCAGCGGCCCAGAGCCGCCGGCGCCGCTGGCCCACCCCCGGGCCCGTCTGCCCCTTGAAGCCCATGCAGTGCTGGTAGACATCCGCGGGGGCCAGCGGCGGTCTCGGTTCGTCCGGCAGCGGGCGCCCCTGCCACGGGTTGCGCCGCCCTGCTGGCCTGCGCCGCGCCGCCACCTCCTATCCTTCCAGGACCTTGTCCGCCGCCAGGTGGGGGCCCCACGGCGCGGCGATGCCGGCGTCGCCAGAGGGGGCGCCAGCGGGGCACGCGGCGTCGACGGCTTGGTCTACTTGCGGAGCGGGCCCACGCCACCTGCGCGGCGCGCATGGACTCGCTGCCGCCACTTCTTCGTCGCCCCAGCGCGGGCTGCCCTGCGCCCCCGCGCCGCGAGGTTGCCCGCCGCGAGCGCCCAGTGCCCCAAGCGCGGCGCTCCTTCCTGCGGCGTCTCGTCGGCGTCGCCGAAGTTGGCGACCGCCCACTGCGTGGTCTGCCAATCGTCTGCGGCGGGGCACCTGGGCCGAGCCCGCGCTGCCCCCGCCTCCGCAGCTGCCATTGGCGACGGGTGCATGCCGACTACCTTCTGGCACGCCCCGTTGAATCTGAGCTGCCGCTGCCACAGAATATGGCACGACGGAAACCGACCTTTTGCAACTAAACATGGCAGGTCGTTCGTCGGCGGGGCGAAGCCGCGGGGCCCAGTCCACGACGCCGTTCCCAGGCCAAGCGCGGCCCCTGGCTGGCACGCGCCAGTCGCGCCATCTCCTGCAGCCGCTAGCGCGGCCACCCCGCTGCGGCGCCGCCCACCAGGTCGGGGCATTCCTGGGCGGCATGCGCGCGGGCGCCGGAGTGCCTCCCTGAACTGCTCCGTCTGCAAGTGGCCCGGCCTCCGCTCCATGTCGCCGGCCCATCGTAGGTCTTGGCGGTGCTCCTCCAGGGCGCGTGGGCCAGCTCCCGCGCGGCGTCGCACGCGGGGTCAGGCCCGCTGAGACGCGCGATGGGATGTCCAGCGGCCGGAGCTGGATCTTCACCACGTGCGTCACCTTGTAGACTGGAGCTTGCTTGCCAAGCCAGCAGGAGACGGGAAAGCGGGGGCTGCATTTGACACGCATGGCCAGGTCCTTCTCCACCGTCGCATGCTCCGCCTGCGCCAGTCTCCGCGAGAAGAAGAAGTAGTCGCGGCTGGGCACCTTGCACGCGCCCTCGCTCGGTCTGACGATGCCGCCTTTCAGCTTGTCGATCGTCTCTGTCTCCTGCGGGCGCGCGGGGCCCACATTGAATTCGCCCCCAAAAACAGACTGCATTCCCGTGGCGTCCGCCAGCGCGCCAGAGGCCGCCAGCGCCGACAGGTTCCTGCCCGTCGGCCCTCCGAATGCCACAAATAGAACGAGCCCACGAGGATCCCGCCAGGCACGCCGACATCGCCCCATGCCGCTGGCAGGCGGCCTGGGCTCTCAGGCGGCAGCCCGCGAAGCTCATGGCGATGTGCCTGGGCACTGCTACTGTCGCGCCCCTCGCTCCAACCTCCGTCCTCAGCGCGCATGCTGGGAACCACTGCTGTCTTCCACCCCTGGTTCGTCATGCGCTGCGACCGCTCGCCCGAGTCGGCCTTGCCCATGGACAGCTCTTGGCCCAACACCACGGCACTGGTGCTCGCGGGCCCCGGCGCGCGTTCCGACGACGTGGCCGGGCTGATGCTGGCCAGGGAGCTGTGGGACGTCAAAGGGACGGAGGGCGCAGCTCCATGGTGAAGCCACGCTGCAGGTCAGCCATCACCGAAGCCATGGCGTCAGCGTGCTTTTCCGCCTTCTCGGTCTTGCAGTGCGGCAAGAGGGGCTGCTTGGCCTGTTCGGCGGTGTCCGTAGCGGGGATGGCGACCTTGCGCGTCTTTCCGTCGCCTCCGTCGGCGGGGACGGCATCAGCGCCACGCTTGCGGGAGGCGGGCGCTGGCGGTGCGGGGACTCTGCGGCCTCCGCCTGCGCCTGCTCCCGCCGCTTGACCAACGCGAGGGCGCACGTGACCGCCACCTGTTTGACCTTGACCTCCACGTCCGCGGATTCCATGGTCTGCAGCGTCGACGCAGCCTGCTCCAGGTGGTGGGCGGCCTTGGTCCATTTCCCGCGCGCGTCAGGCGGTGCGGCCTGCTCCAGATGTGCCTTGTACGCCTCCAGTTCCTTGGTAAGCTTCTTCGTGCCCTCAATGTATGCTGCTCTTCCGCCAGCTCATTCTGGATGTCGGCGGCCTTCTCGTTGACGGACTCGGTCTTCTTCTTGATGCTATCCCTCGCCTGCTCCGCTTTGCGGCGGTGCTGCTCCACCTGCGCCTGCGTCCAGCATCCCGGGAGGGTCTCGACAGTCTGGGCCTCCAGGCGGCGGACCTCCTCCTGCATTTTGTCCGCTGCCTCACCGAGGAAAGACATACCGTCTTCGGCGGCGGCTGGCGCGCGCAGATCGCGCACGCGACTCCGAAGAGTCGCCAGCTTTGTGTTCGCCTCCTTACTCGCGGGCGTCCATGTCCGACGCCGGTTGCTGCGTGTCGAAAGGTGTCGTCCCATTGCGGTCCCGGAGGATGCTGCTGCCGCCCTCGCCAGGCCGCCACTCCCAGCATTGCCAGCATCGCTTGCGCTTGGCCCAGCATCGCGCCATAGGCGGCGCAGTCCCAGGCGCCATGGCTTGACATCCCTCTGGCTCGGAGAGCAATGCCACTTCGAATGCTGCGATGTTCCCAATCTCCAATGGGCGGCAGGCCCCAGCCGCCAAATGGAGCTGAAATGGCTGCGGAGGAGGGAGGAGGGAGGGTGAGGAGGGGGAGGAGCATGGAGAAAGGATGGAGCTGTGAGGAGGGGGCAAGTCGGAGAGGGCCGCCTACAGAACTGTCCCTAAAAAGGCGCATCCGAGAGGGAGTGCTCCTCGAAACTGCTCGCAAGCTTCCTCCTCCTCCTCCTCTTCCTCCTCGTCCTCCTCCTCCTCCTCCTCTGGAGGTCGCTCCTTGGGCCCCCCACCTTCGCGCTCATCCTCCAGCGAGACTTCTAAATGCTTGCACGAGCGCCCGCTGCCCTCCACCCCAAACTGAGGAGCAACGTTTAGGGGGGACCAGCTCAGCTTGAAATGGCGATACATCGCCGAGGCATCGGCGACAGGCCCCCGATAGCGAAGCCGCACGGTCATGGGCGGGGCGGGCTATCGGGCCCCTGTCGGGGATGCTGGACCCCCTCCCCGGCGCGTGGAGCGCGCCAAGGGCGGCGCGTGCAGCGCCGGAGGCGCCGCCGTGGGGGCCCAGCGCGGATCCAAGAAATCCGCGCGGATCGCCAAACATTTATGTTTATGGCGTTTTCTCTTCTTCGAAACCCACCCCCTACGTTGCCCCTGACCAACCGCAACCTCTCACCCCCACATCCCCCGTGCGCCCTTAAACTGCGGGACCGACGGTACCTCACTTCGCGCTCGCGCTGGCGCTCTTCCTCTTCAGCGTGCTGGGCGGATGCACGAAGCTACGCGTAGAAGAGATCGGTGCCCACGTTGCTGATCTGCCTGGCCTCTGGCACCACTGCCAGCTCGTCGTTCCAGTCGAGGTCATCTGCCTGGGGGTCGCTCCCATTAACCAGCCGCCGACCAGACATCTCGTTGTCGATCCAGTCACGCACATAGTTGACCCGACTCCAAACTCCAGGGTACCCTGAAACGGCACACCCGTAGCCCCACGAAGTGGCTCCGTGCAGGACGTAAGCACCGCTGCCGGAATCGCAGACGAGGGGCCCGCCGCTATCCCCTTGACAGGCGTCTGTGTTTTCCCCTTGGTTGTTCGTGCCCTGCGCGCACAACATGTCATCGGTGATCGTCCAACCGAAATTGCTGTATGCAGAATCGCAGTCTGCATTGCTGTAGATCGTCACCTGCGCCTCCTGCAGCTTGTTAGGGGAGTTCCCCCCCGAGGAGAGTGTACCCCACCCGGTGATGAAGCACTCCTCACCGACAGCGACGTCCTCAGTTGGCAAGCATGCGACCCCAATGCAATCATTCAATGGCGCGGCATCTTCCAACTCCACTAGGGCAAAATCGTGCGACTCCTCCTGAGCGTTGTAGAGCGGATGTGGGATCACGCGTTTCACCGCCAGCGTCACCTGTTCCGAATCTGTTCTGTACTGTCTCCAGCTGCCCGCCACGACGTCGAACGAGCCCCCCATACAGTGAGCAGCCGTCAGGACCCAATTCGGTGCGATGAGCGTTCCTCTGCGAGGGCAACAAACAGCAACATCAGCACAAACTTCGGCGGACGTCCGCAGACGGCAGATTCCCGCTGGTGGGTGCCCGGCCCGCTCCACACCTCACATCGGTGCCGTCCGCGGGCGTCCGAAGTTTAGCGTTCATGCGCTTTTCTAGCCTCTGGTCCTCCGCAGAAGTGGAACCCCCCGTCAGAGAGGGAGACCTGCCACTTCCACTCGCACTTGGCTGCGTTCTGCCCCCCGACGATGCGCCCGCTGGCTGCCTCCACAGTGGACCTACTCTTTGCGCCGCACGTGAGGGGCGCTGGTGCCGGTGTTGGCGCTGCCACTGGCCCGAGAACGCAAGACGACCGCCGCCGCCCGCCACCTCCGCACAGGGGGCCGCAACTCCGCCGCCGCCGCCCCCCTCCGCCGCCGTTGCTGCATACGGCAAGTGGCGCTGTTGGCGCTGATGTTGGCGCTGGTGTTGGCGCTGGTGTTGGCGCTGGTGCCGGTGTTGGCGCTGCCACTGGCCCGAGAACGCAAGACGACCGCCGCCGCCCGCCACCTCCGCACAGGGGGCCGCAACTCCGCCGCCGCCGCCCCCATCCGCCGCCGTTGCTGCATATGGGAAGTGGCGCTGGTGTTGGCGCACCTAACATCTCGTTGTCGATCCAGTCACGCACATAGTTGACCCGACTCCAAACTCCAGGGTATCCTGAAACGGCACACCCGTAGCCCCACGAAGTGGCTCCGTGCAGGACGTAAGCACCGCTGCCGGAATCGCAGACGAGGGGGCCGCCGCTATCCCCTTGACAGGCGTCTGTGTTTTCCCCTTGGTTGTTCGTGCCCTGCGCGCACAACATGTCATCGGTGATCGTCCAACCGAAATTGCTGTATGCAGAATCGCAGTCTGCATTGCTGTAGATCGTCACCTGCGCCTCCTGCAGCTTGTTAGGGGAGTTCCCCCCCGAGGAGAGTGTACCCCACCCGGTGATGAAGCACTCCTCACCGACAGCGACGTCCTCAGTTGGCAAGCATGCGACCCCAATGCAATCATTCAATGGCGCGGCATCTTCCAACTCCACTAGGGCAAAATCGTGCGACTCCTCCTGAGCGTTGTAGAGCGGATGTGGGATCACGCGTTTCACCGCCAGCGTCACCTGTTCCGAATCTGTTCTGTACTGTCTCCAGCTGCCCGCCACGACGTCGAACGAGCCCCCCATACAGTGAGCAGCCGTCAGGACCCAATTCGGTGCGATGAGCGTTCCTCTGCGAGGGCAACAAACAGCAACATCAGCACAAACTTCGGCGGACGTCCGCAGACGGCAGATTCCCGCTGGTGGGTGCCCGGCCCGCTCCACACCTCACATCGGTGCCGTCCGCGGGCGTCCGAAGTTTAGCGTTCATGCGCTTTTCTAGCCTCTGGTCCTCCGCAGAAGTGGAACCCCCCGTCAGAGAGGGAGACCTGCCACTTCCACTCGCACTTGGCTGCGTTCTGCCCCCCGACGATGCGCCCGCTGGCTGCCTCCACAGTGGACCTACTCTTTGCGCCGCACGTAGTCGCCCGTGCTGGCATGACCACGACAAGCAAGAGCAAGCAGCGGCGAAGCACCATCGGCACTGATGCAGGCAAGTGCGAGATGCCTGAGTTGGCGAGACCAGAAGTTTGCCGGAATTGCGGTCGGGAACTGCTGTTTAGCGTGTCGCGGCGGCGGCCCCGGCGACACGCTATGCCTTGCAAGCGAAAAGCGTGTCGCTCCGCTCTGTGGGGCGGGAGGCCGGGAGAAGCTCGGGACGTTGACGCCTGGGGACCGCGACGTGGGCAGCGTGTCGCGCGGAGGGGTGGAGGGCCCGAACCGGCGGCGCGACACGCGAAGCCAAAGTTCCCGACCGTAGACGAGCATCGTTCAAACGATCCCTGTCCCCACGGGCGTGGCCTGGGCCCCACTGGCCGATCTACCCCCTAGATGGGAATGTAGGCTGGTTCCTTCATCCTTCGAGGGATATATCCCCCACTGGGGTGGTTGGATGGTGAGAATCGCGATGGGGATGGGGATGGGGATGGGGACAGGGATCGGTTCAACCGTAGAAGAACTTGATGCGAATTGGCTGAGCCAACACGGTACCAGAGACACGGAGAGAGCTCGTCTCGCTCGGACGGCCACCAGACGGAACATGCGCCGCAAAGCAGTGCGTTCCGCCACAAGGCGCTTCCTTCCGAGGGCGACTGGAAGTGTCCTCCTAGCCTCCCTCCATGATCCCTCCATCATCCCTCCTCCTCCTGCTCTTTTTCCTGACCCTCGTCCCCTCCTGCTCCTCCTGCTTCATCTCTCATCCCTCCTACCTTCCTTCTGCTCCTCCCGTCAGCCCTTCGTCCTCCTGCCCCCTCTCCTCCTCATCTTCCTCCTTCATTCCTCCCGTCCTCATCCTCCTCCTTCCTCCGTCCACCCCCACGACCCCTCCACGGCATGCAGGATTTCCGGCCACGCTCGGGACATGCTCTGCGTGGACGCCCGGTAAAGCTCCAGCTCGAAAGCCTCCTTTGGGACGAAACCCTTGTGCGTAGAACCCCATGTTTGTGGAACCTGATGTGTCAAACCTCACGTGTTTGTATCCCCATCTGTGTAGAACCAAATGCGCGTAAAACTCCAAAGAGATCCACAGTGGGCCAGCAGACCAAGCCATGCGAGGTGACCGAGCAGCCATCAGAAGACGTGTATTACGACAGGCCTGGTGCGACGGGAAGTCATAGGGAAGGCATAAGAGGCCAAGCAGCCGCCAGAAAACGTGCACAACTACAAGACGAATGCCCAGGAGGGCGAGAAATCAGGTGCAAAACATGGAAGTCGAAGCAGCCACCTGAACACGTGCAACTGAAAGGGCAAGCGAGGTGGCAAGCTACAACAAACCACAGGAGGCCACGCCATGGCAGGCCCGGCTGCCATCGGAGTCCACAAGACACCAGAGAGCCCTAATCCGCCAGACCTCCCAGGAGCCCACGAAAGTGGCGACCGCTGCGAAGTTGACGGTCACCTAGGGAGCCGCGAGCTCTCGGCTGGGTGCGCGTCGCCCTCTGCCCCGCTGGACCTCTCAGCAGCCCACGAACGTGGCGACAGCTGCGCAGTTCGCAACCACACGGGGAGCAACGAGGTCTCGGCTGCGTCCGCGTGGCCCCCCCGCCTCCGCGTGACCTCCCAGGAGCCCACGAACGTAGCGAGAGCTGCACAGCGTGTAGCCCCCAGGGAGCCGCGAGGTCTCGACTGGGTCCCCGTGGCCCCCGCCTCCGCTGGACCTCCCAGGGGCCCACGAAAGTGGCGACGATTGCGCAGTTCGCAACCACCCAGGGAGCAGCGAAGTCTCGTCTGGGTCCACATGGCACCGCCTCCGCTGGACCTCCCAGGAGCCCACGGACGTGGCGACAGCTGCGCAGTTGACAGCCTCCCAGGGAGCAGCGAGGCCTCGTCTGGGTCCGCGTGAGCCCCGCCTCCGCTGGACCTCCCAGGGGCCCGCGAAACTGACGACGGCTGCGCGGCTCGCAGCCTCCCAGGGGGCAGCGAGGTCTCGTCTGGGTCCGCGTGGCCCCCGCCTCCGCTGGACCTCCGAAGAGCCAACGAAAATGGCGGCGGTTGTGCAATTCGCATGCTCCCAGGGAGCAGTGAGGTCTCGTCTGGGCCCATGCGGCCCAGGCCTCCGTAAGACCTCCCGGGAGCCCACGGATGTAGCGAAAATTGCGGAGTTGGCGGCCCCCCCCCAGGGACAACGAGGTCTCACCTCCTGGGTCCGCGTGGCCCCCGCCTAAGCTGGACCGAGGAGCCCACGAGAGTGGAGACAGTTGCACAGTTCGCAGCCCCCCAGGGAGCAGCGCAGAAGGAAGCAGGAGGAGAGGGGGCGGGGCGGTAGAGGAAGTGGAGACCACAGCGCTCGATTCTAAGCCGCTCGAAGCAAGAAGTTATGATGCCCGAGCGCCTTACTTTGCTTTGGGGCATCTGAAAAAAACATGGCTGCCGACGCAAATTCTCCCTTTCCCCTCCCCCACCTGGTCCTCATCGGACTTCTCCTCCTCTGGGCGCTGATGCCAGTGATGCTCTCGCCGTTGCTTCTGCTCCTGCTGCTGCTGCTGCTGCTCATCCTCGTGCAAGTCCTGCGCAGCAGGCAGTCCAAACAAAGCCAGCCAAACTAGTTGGACGAACCAAATCACGAGACTGGGCAGGCCGTGTCTAGTAACCAATCGACCAACCAACCAACACCAACGCACCAATCAGACCAGACCATTCAGACCAGATCGGCCGAACCAGATGAACTACTCGACTAGCCAGACCAGACCAGCCCAGGGCCAGCCAACCGAACCAAACAAGCCAAGCAAACCGAACCAGCCAGACTGAAGGAACCTGCGCGATCACACCTATGAGACCTACCAACCGAGATCTGATCCGAAAGAACTCTGCCGACCAGACCAGCCAGACCAATCGGACGAACCAGACCAACCAGACCCGGTGGAGCAACCACGCGAAACCAAGCAGACAAACCAACCAGACCAGCCATATTCCTCTTCCTATATTTTTATAAGCCCGGGCGGGGGGAAAACCCGTCCCCCCCCCCAAAGACCGGACTCCCGGATCTGGGGCTTTGGGACCCTCCAGACGGGCCTCGAAGCGGCCACCGGGCCTCACATAGCGTTTTGCCAAGCCTACCCAGCACACCTAGGGCGATCAGGGGGGTCATCGGAGACGTCCCAGAGACCCCCAAGACAGCACAAGAGCGCTCCAAGAGTGACCGACGTGACCTCAAGATGGCCCAAGAGGCCTCCAGGACAGTCCCAAAGAGGCCTCCAAGAGCACCACTCCCAAGAGGGCCCCCCGAGGCAAAAATCATTGATTTTCTGTGGGTTGTTGGTGAATGTTAGGGTTCTCCTCTTTTCGGCTTCCCGACGCTCCAAGACGGCGGTCTTCTGGGCGTCCGAAGCCGCCTGGGAGGCTCCAAAATCGGCCCACAACCATCCGAAAGGGCTTCCAGGCAGTCCAAGAGAGCCCCAAAACAGCACAACACGGGTCCAAGATGGTCCTCAAAGAGCCCCATGGCGGCCCAAGATGGCCCAAAGACACCCTCCGAAGAATTCCAAATCGTGATTCGGTCGTTCAGGGATACCGCGGTTGGAGGCAGGGTGGCCCGAGGAAGCCCCCGGAGGCCCCCAGAATACGCCCAGGAAGTCTCCAGAAGGCCTCAAAAAAGCCTGAGACAACTTTTGTGAGGCCCCTAGAGGCTCTCCAAGGAGGAGCCTCAGCAAAAAGAGCTGAGGAGGATGGGGAGAATGCGCAGGGCATGGCGAAAATAAGGAAAAAGAAGCATGGAGGAAGGATAACGAATAACAGTATGATAGCGGCGATGCCAGAAAAGGCAACCAGGAGTTATCGCTAAATTGTCGGCTTGACCTTCCTGCTATTCCGCCTGCGTGCCAAATTTGAAGGACCAAGGTGCATGGCGCGAAGCGCCACTGCAGTCTTGTGTATATATATATAGAGAGAGAGAGAGAGAGAGAGAGAGAGAGTGACGGCAACCCACGCAAACCATGCCAAACAAATCAGCCATATGAATCCGACCGACAAAGCAAACAGACACAGACAAACCGAACCAGTCGGACGTACCAGACCAAGACCAACCAGACCAACCAGGTGAACTACTCGACCAACCAGACCAAGCCAGACCAGCCCGGTCAGAACAGACCAACCAACGCCAACTTACGAATTCAAGTTGCCGCGCGCCTCGAAAAGGCGCAAAAATACACGAACAACAAAAACAACTGCAATGCGGCAAACAATGTATTGCCGCGGTCGTGGTTGGCGCTGCGCGCTTCGCCCATCCCTGGCCCTCCAAAGCTGCAACCGAAACAACATTGGCAATGCAGAACAAATGCCTTGCGGTGGAACAGCCGCGAATAAACAGGCCAGACGAACCACGCCAGCCCCCCTTTGACCCTTTTCTTTTGGGGCCCAAGGAGGGCGAGCCTCTTAGCGACCCCGGCCCTGAACAGGAGTGGTTGTGCGTGGACGACGCGAATAGAAAAATACTATCATTACTGCTGCGGTTCGACCGCCACTCCTCCTAGCACTTCTCCTTCTACTTCAACTCACTCCTACTGCTCCTGCTCCTACTCCTACTCCTCTAAAAAAGACACGCGTATCCTCGCGTGTCGTCGGCAGCCGGGCGTTGATTATTTAGCCCATCGCGGGCTGGGTGCCGATTAGCGCGGTTAGACCATGTGGGGCATTCAATGCAAAAATGTGGCCCCTGGTGGTCTTCGGCCCAGAGTCCCCCAGGGCCAGGTTTCCGGCATTTGATATCTTTCATATATATATATATATATATATATATATAATGTACAAGGTCGAGCCTGCCTCTGACACGCCTCGAGAACCCAGGCACCGCCCCCGCGGCTCAGGGGAAGGACGGAGAGGACGAGGGGAGAGGCTGAGGCGCAGGCGAAGCCTGCACAAAAGGGAGCAGCAACCTCATTTGCACCAGGGCACGAAATGACCAAAGCCATCTCACGTTCGATAAGTCAGTTCGGACGTGCTGCAACACACTGACATGCAACCTCATCCCGCAACTCGAGGGAAAACCCCTCAATATCCAAAGGGTGGGTCGGGATGGGCCCTGAATTCCTATGAGACACAGGTTGCTGCATGAGCTGATGGACCTGGCACTATACATTGATACAAATTCGCAAACTCTCATCCAATCACAATGTATAAGGTCGAGCCTGGCACTGAGGCGCCTCGAGAACCCACCCGCCCAACCCACAGGAACCGCCTCCGCGGCCCAGGGGAAGGACGGAGAGGGCGAGGGGAGAGGCGGATGCGCAGGCGAAGCCTGTACAGAAGGGGACATGCGACAGGCGCAGCCTGGACAGGTATGAGCAAACATGGTGCAGCAACCTCACTTGCACCAGAAGACGAATTGACCAAAGCCATCTTACGTTCAATCTGTCAGTCCGGACGTGCTGCAACGCAAAATCTCAATCACTCCTCGATCGAGGGCATCGCACTGAAATGAAACCTCATCCCGCAAGTCAAAGGACAATCCCTCAACCTCCAAAGTGCGTATATGAGAATGCCAACCTCCGCAACGCGAAACTTTCCAATTTCGATGGCTCTGCCCACCTCGGAGCCACCACCCGCATGCGTACTTCAACCATTCAAACTGGGCGAACGCACCTCTGCCGCCCCGAAACCACTAGGGCGGGCGAGCGGCGGGGAGCTGGAGCACCATATGTGCCTTAAGCGGCGCTCTCATGGTTGACGCGTCCACTGCAATCCCGATGGCATCTCCGACTCTGGCTGTGATGCGCTCGAGCTCTCCACCCGGGCAGGCGCCAGTCAGGGCCCATGACGGATTGGCTCATTGTAATTCAAAACCGAGCCTCGCGAAATAGAAGCGGATGGCCAGGATCTCCTCTGCCGCTGGCATAACTTCCCGATCCCATATGAAAAAGCTCTCGGGGAAATTGAATTGAGCCGAGGTCCCGGCCGCCGACGGCGCTCTCGTAGACACTGCCTGGATGGAACTCCACAGCTCCACAGCCAAAGCCTCAGGCACCACCTGCAGTCCTCGCTCGAGCTCCTCCGTCATGTTTGGGCGAGAGCGGGCTCCGATATCCACGACAAAGCGGCCTCCTGTCACGTTGAGGCGGCACCCCAGCATATCGATGCCCGACCAGGCCTCGTCGACCAAAGTTTCTGAAGTGCTTGCAATCGACAGAGCCACTCCACTGACGGCCAGCGTAAGATTTCCGGCCGCCAACGCCACTGCACCACCAGCCCCTGCCACATCCTCGACCAAGGCTGCTGCTGCCTCAGCACTCCTGGACATGTTGGGGAAGACAGCGGACGGCATGGAGACACAGATCACCCCGAGGATGATGGCAGAAAAAAAACACGGGCCGAACCAAGGCCTCAGCATCCCACTGCCGTTGGCAGCCATCTTCATGCAGCTTATCTTCTGGACGCGCTGCTGCTGCTGAGGCCTCTGCGGCTGCGCCACGAGCTGTGCCGCGCGCGGCAGAGGGGTGCCCGCCTCGTCCAGAGGAACTGCCGAGAGAGTCGTAGGCGGCGGGTGTACACCAGGGGACTTGCCCTTGGGCGGCGCGAGCACCAACGAGACTGCCCTGGCGACGCTGTCCTCGACGTAGCCCTCGAGGCTGGCGCACTCGCTGCCATCCAGCTGCCTGGCGTGACAGATGTAGCTAGCGGCGGCGGCGCCATCCCCACATCCTCCGACGCGGGGCCCTTGACCCACTGCCCATTGACTCTGATCACGCCCTTCGGCGCCACGCCCGCGAGGACCCGCCGCCCCCCAAACGTGCGCTGGAAAGTACTGGCTCCAGCTCCTCTTGAGCAACCGCTGCTGCTGCGCGAAACCTTTCGTGTCGAGTCGGGTGAGGATGTGGCGCGCATCAATGATATCCAGGTATACTCTTAGACTGGAATTGGGAATCCACCTTCCTCGCTGGGAGGCTCTCACCATGGGGTGGGGGCTGTGAGGGCCCCACCCCATGGAGAGGCCCCTGGGGCCCTCGACGTCCTTCAGGAGCCTGCGTCACTGGGCCAAGCTGTAGGGGAAGAGCGGACTGCCCGCCAGAGTGGCCCTCGCGATGTCCTCGAACACCTTCAGGATGTCCCGGTCCTTCTGGAAGATACGGGCCACCTCCGGCATCTTGAGCTTGGTGCCTGTTCTCGGAGCGGGCGGGCGGGACATGAAAGTGTGAGGCGCCTGAGGCACGCTGGACCGAGCACGCGCGAACCCTAACCGGCGGGTGGGGTCGGGCGAGCGGAACCTAGCAGGCGGGCCGGGTCGGGTCGGGCAGGCGGACCCTCAAGGGCGGGACGGGTCGGGTGGGCGGGACATTAACTGTGGGGCACGCTCGACCGAGCACGCGCGAACCCTGACGCGCGGGTCAAGTCGGGCGGGCGGACCCTGGCGGGCGGGTCGGGTCGGGTCGGGCAGGCGGACCCCAACGGGCGGGTCGGGTCGGGTCGGGCGGGACATTAAACTGTGGGCCACGCTCGACCGAGCACGCGCGAACCCTAACAGGCAGGTCGGGTCCGGCGGGCGGACTTTAGCCGGATCGGGCAGCTTCGCCGACGGCAGCTGGCTTCGCAGACGGAACATGGTTTCGCCGACGGAAGCTGGTCTCGCCGACGGCAGCTGGTTTCGCCGACGGCGAAACCAGCCGGGCGAAACCAGCTGGGCGAAACCAGCGGGGCGAAACCCGACGTCAACGAAAATATCGGTTGCCACATACACACATATACACATACACACAACATCTATACATACCAGAAATAAAGAAGAAACATGTGACTACACACTACAAAAAAACAAAAATACATATTCACAGTGATATAGACACATGAATACTTATAAAGAAAACAAGCTACATATAAATTTACTTACGTACATACATACATACAGAAACACACACAGACAGACCGACAGACCGACAGACATACAGACATACAGAATCTTCTTCTAGTGGTTTGCCGACGACTCGACAATACCCCGCGGCTTGCCCGAGAGCAATTTGCGCGGGGCAACGCTGGACGTCCGCTGGCGCTGCGCCCCTCTCTTGCCGCACTGCCGGGCGGCGGGGCTTTCTGCCAGCATCGCAGCTTTGCCCAAGGGGTGGCGGGCGCCTCCTCCCCCCTCTTCGCCCCCCTCTCCCCCGCTCTCCTCCCTCCTCTGGGGCGCCCACATGTACCGAACCGTCGCCTTGAGCCTTGCGCTGGAGGCCCTGAGCCAGGCAGGAACATCGGCCGGCTCCCGTGCATGGAGGGTGTCGCTCTCTCCTTTCCGTGGCCTCTGTGGCTCGAGGTTCACGCGCGTGCACAGGCGCTCTCCCGCACCCCTGAGTGCCCCCACCGTCGAGCGAGGCTAACCTTGTGTCGTTTCCATCGCGCTCAAGGACCACATCCCAGAAATCGTCCCGAGCGCCTCGAAAAGTGTCGAAACAGCGTCGAGCGAGTATCGCCTCCCAGGGCCCGACACCTGAAAACCTTTCACAAGTTTCGGTACTTTCCTGGTGTTCGAAATTCTTTCTGGTGACCAAGGCTGAAGTTGGTTGAAACATCATAAGGCTGACGAGACAGCATCTTTCCTATCTCATGGCGTCGCAGTTCTTTATCACTCCCCCCTCCCCCTGCTGCACGATGTGACCTCGGCCCGGAGGGAGCGGGGCACAGGAAGTTCGCCGCCCGCCATCTTGCTGGCTGTTGCGAGTAGACGCTAATCGACGCAGAATCGGCGCTCTCCCATGGCGCTGACGCACGGTAATTCAACTCTAGAAGCGGAATTCCGAGGACACACAAGGCTGCCATGATTTACTACCGAACCCTGCTGCACGGCATGACCACGGCGCAGAAGGAGCGGGTCACAAGAAGTTCGCCGCCCGCCAGCCGCGCTCGCCGTCGGCCAGCCGCGGCCGCCGCGCCCGCCGCGAGCCCTCCTCGGCCGCCTGCTGCTCCGCCTGCGCGCCGCCGCTCGAACGATAGCGGCCAGCACAACAAGCCGCCGCAGTCGTCGTCATCGTCGACGACGACAACGACGTCGACTGCGGCGACGACGACGATGACGACGACGATTACGGGATCAGTCGACTCGGGAAACCCTGGGACAAAAAAATGCTGACGTCTCTCTCTTACGTCCGTCACCCTCTGCAGGCGGACTCGCCACCGCTTCATTTCCCCCGCCCGAAGGCGAGGATGGGCCAAGGGCGAGGCTCTCTCTGGAACGCGCCACATGGAGGGGCAACGTCAGGGGGGGACTGGCTTAGGGGGGAGCATCGACCTGGACTCAGCGATATGGCCCCAATGGCGAAACCGCGCGCTCCTGGGCGGGGCGGGCTATCGGGCACCTCTCGGCGATGAGTGGGCCCATCCCCCCCATGAGCCCATCCCCGCCGAACGTTGCCCCTGAAGGCATGCGCGACTCCAGAAGCCCTGGAACCCCAGATGTTGACGTCTCATGTTCGCTTTCGCCACCTTCCGCTGGCGGGCCCGCCGCAGTTCTGCCTCCGCCGCCGTCCGCCGGCTTCCGCCCAGGGCGAGGATGAGCCGAAGGCAAGGCCCGTTCTGGAGCGCGCCAACACGTGCTCCTCCCCTTCGCCTTATCCTCCTCTCAGCGGCGCGCCCAGGGGAGAAGTGAGAGGGGGCAGGCCTTCTCATAGGGCTCAAAGGACCTCCAGCCCTCCCAGAAGCTTTCCAAGCCTTCCCGAAGCCTCAGAGGGCTCCCCAGAAGGCCGGAGGGCTTCTGTGAAGTCCGGCGCTTTCTGAGACGGCCTGCTATCGCTCACATTCCCCCTCGGCGCGCCGCCGATCCTCTTCCTCGCCCTCCCCCTCCCCGTCCGCCACATGTAGGGAGAAAAGATGTACCGATGGTGCTACTCCGCGGACATCCCCCAGACCTCTGGGCAGGGTCGTCTAGCTCGTGTCCTCTTCCATCTTCCCTTTTCCCTTTCGGGGAGGGGCCAATCACTGTTCCCTATTGATACACACCCCCTCCCACACCCCCTCCCCCACCCGCTAACCCTTTTCAAACAACAATGCCAAATCCACAGTGGGGAAAACATCTGGACTGTGCGCGGGCACCACGCGGGCACTTTGCACTGGGTTTTCAAAAGGGACGGCGGGGGTACGGGGGAGGAGGAAAAGGAGGAGGAGGAGGAGAGGAAGCGGAGGAGGAGGAGCAGGAAGAGGAGGAGGAGGAGGTGTCCTCATACTGCCCGCTCTGCGCAGGCTTGCAATCCCTTTCAGAACACCATGCACAAATACAAATTGCAGCAAGATCAAGTCCGTGCGCGGGCGCTCCGTGAGCACTTGGCATCTGTGCTTGGCATGGGCGGCGGCGGTGCCCTCGATATGTCCGATCTGCGCAGACCTGCTGGTGGACAGTTAAAACACTGTAACACGCGATTCATACTTGTTATCTCGGTGGAAAAATGCTTTCTCTGGGTGGATGCGCACACCCGAGGTGAAATATATTAACTCGCGAATTCGTACTTTAAAAACTCGCGACTCGAGTGTTGTCACACCTCTATCCCTGACAACGCACAATGCAAAACACATTGTGTGGCAAACGCTGGTTCGTGCGCGGGCGCCCCGCGATCATTTTGCATGGGTTGCTTTTACACAAGGGGCGGAGGGGGAATGCCCTTATATCGGCTGATCTGTGCAGGGTCCGATCCCGGACGGAAGCCTCACAACGAACCCTTTGCGGCAAAATCTGGATCATGCGCGGGCGCCCCGCGATCACTCTGCATTGGCTTTCGGGGTTTGCCGGGGACGGCGGGGGGGCCCTCATATTGTCTGCACTGTGCTTCCGACGGGACTCATGAACTCAGTAGGTTCAGTGTTGGGAGGGCGGGTGGAAATGAGCGACACGGCTTGCGGCTTGGGGTAGTTTGCTCACTGATTCCTATTAATACACACCCCTTCCCCCAGGCGTCCAGCAGCCAACTCGCCCCCATGACGACACTCCACTACCATCCGTGCCAAAAACTACATTCACACATAAGGATCTCCCCGCCGCCCGGGGTACCCTCCCGCTTCCGACTGGAACCTCATATGTGATCATGACCCCTCGCCCATTCTAAATATGACTCCGTAACATCCGTGCTAAGGCGGTATGGATCCCCACCCCCGTCTTGTGCAGAGATTACTATGCGCGCACGCTCGTTGACCACAAATCATAAGCGCACAAAAATCCGATTCAAAGAATCGACGAAATGCGCACGCGCGCGTCGTCGCGCGTGCATGCCGACATCGTTCAAAAACCGTAAGTGCCGTACGGGCTTGAAGAATGGGTGCCCAAGAAACATGCAAACAAACAAGGCTTCGCAAACCGAATTTCCCGCCCCCAAGAAAATGCACGCGCGATTTTGCGAATTCTTCTGGGAACCATACGTTCTTCAACACTTTCATCAACTGCTACAACGGGCTTCGCGCGCGCACAGGTCGGAATCGTTCGAACGCCCTTGCGCGCGTGTTGTCGCAAGGATCAGGTGGGGAAAAAACGGAGCGCACACGCGCGCGTCGTCGCGCGCGCATGCCGAAATCCGTCACCGACCTCAGATTTCGTTAGTATTTCAAGACCAACTGTCCCGAAACCATCTAATGTAAAGCATGTGGTTTCGCATCCACACTTTTAACTGTTTTCATATTGATATATATATATATATATATATATAGAGAGAGAGATAACAACAAATAGAACTGCGCCCGCGGCCCTGTGAACTGTAGAATCAATCGTTCGACGTGCTCATTGAATTTTGCCAAACGGGCCTCTCGCGCCGAATGCCGAAATCATTCGAACGCCCTTGCGCGCGTGCGGGGGGGGGAACGATCCGTTTCAATTAACCCCACGCGGGCCATTTCCGCGCGCATGCCGAACTACTTCCAATACCTTCATCACCGACGCGATGACGCCGTCATCGTCGCCTGCGTCAGCAGCATCGGCTCCGTTCCTGGCAGTCCCGTCGTCGTTGTCAACACCGTCACCAACATCACGACTATCATCATCGCGTCTACCGTTGTCGACGTTGCCACGATACCGCGCCCGCCCAAGTCGCCGACTCTCACTGACCTGCCCGCTGGGAAGCGCCCAGCGGTCAGCGCCACCACGGCCGCGTCGGTCGCGCCAAACTAGCTGGCCGCTGCGCGCGCGCATGCGCGGGCTGACGCGGCCGCAGAGAAGCACCAGCCAACACCAAGCAGTCATCGCCATCGCCTCCGCGGGTTTTGCGCACGAAATTGCGGGTGGGTGGGTGGGTTGATTGTGCAAGCAGTGGTTTTTGGCAACTGCAAGCTGAGCATTGGTGACTTATCAAACGTTTTTTGTGTAACATCAAATTCTGCCACCCGTCCCTCCCCGAGATTAAATATTCCCCTTTTCGCATTGAGATTTACATATGGTCCTGCCCCATCGTCCATCCTAACTGTGAACTCACTCATACTATCCCAGCCAAACCGGTATCGCCCCCCCCGCTATCCTCTGCAAACGAATACTATGCGCGAGCACTCGTTTATCAAACACCATAGGTTTTCATGGAAAAAACAAAACGAAATGCTGACGCGCGCGTCGTCGCGCGCGCCTGCCGAAATCCTTCAAAAACCAAGGTTTCGGAAGGATTTCAAAATCGAGCTTCCAAACAAAACATGCAAACACCACATGTTTCGCAACACTGAGCTTCTAAATAGCCTGGCGAAGGACCCAACCAAACGCAATTGTGGATACAGCAATTGTGAATACCATCTTCGCCCGCGCTCCCTATGTGGCCACGGCTTCCCGCCGGAGCCCGACATGCTCAGCGACACGTTTGTGGCCGTCTTCGCGAGCGCCGACGACCACGAGGACGGCGTCCCCCTGACCGAAGAGCAGAAGCAGGAAAGGGTTCTGAGAGCCATGAGGGAGACTGTCATTGGCGCCTTCGGTGGAGCTCCTATGGGGCCACAATCCTCATGAGGGATGTGCCGAAATAGCCCGAGGCCGCCTTGCGAACCCTGCCACTGGGGGCCTTCGGTGGAGCTCCCTATGGGGCCACGATCCTCGTCAGGGGTGTGCCGAAATGGCCCGAGGCCGCCATGCGAACCCTGCCACTGGGGCCTTCCATGAAGCTCCCTATGGGGCCAAGATCCTCGTGAAGGGTGTGCCGAAATGGCCCGACGCCATGCGAACGCTGCCACTGGCGCCTTCGGTGGAGCTCCCTTATGGGGCCACGATCCTCGTGAGGGGTGTGCCG